TTGCCAGTACTAAATTATCACAGCTAAGGACTGAGCTTAATCTTGTGCTAAGGGGGGCATAGCTCCCTAAACATTTTGAAAACCATTAAAACATATGGTAATGGATTTTTTTTATTAACTCACCCGTCAAAAAACCTTCTTTTTAATCAAATTAGTCCTCAGAAAAAATTTTGACCCCTCGTTAAATTTTAGTTAAGCTTCGTTCATGACCACAACTCAAATATTAGTGATACCTAAAGTCTCATGCAAAGATGTCTAATCCGATTGAGAAAATTAATTAGTTTCATATTTATCTCAGTTTTAAAAAATTAATGATATCTCCCATCTAATTGAGAAAATGTTTTTGCTATAAAGAGAAACCAAAATTTTGCCGACTACAAGAACAGACCCACGAGTTTCACGGTACGATTGTTAGGAATGTGTTTGTCCTACTTCATTTGTCAATTACTGGAACAAAGCTGTCGGTAGAACAGTTGCAACTACAGAGTCGTACCCCATGTAAAAATTGAGAAGAGATATAACTGCAATTGAAAATATGGAGCCCTATGTCCGTACATCGCACAATCCTGTCGGTTGGGTGTATTTATTATTGAATATATGCCTAACTACTTTGGGTACGAAGGCTGGTTAGGCCCTTCCAAACAAACCCTCATATTACTTCTTTTGTTTCAAAAAAAAAAATAAATTATTAACCATTTAAATAATTTAGTAATAATTTTTTAATAAAAATAAATAATTTTAAATTTAAGTTATAGGTAAGACAAATAAATATATATTAAAGAGTTAAAAAAAAATTACTATACAACTAAAAAAGAAAAAATAAATATTGCAGTAATAAAAGTCTAAAAGCTAAGGAAAAGAATTAGGTCCCACATGCCGGATTCGAATCAGGGACCTAATTGTAAAGTTCAGCTCTCAAGTAGCTGTCTGGCAAGCAGTTATGAAGTTCATGTGACAAGTCTTACAAAAAAAATAAATAAAGAATTCAAGCTTACACTTAGAGAAGTGGGAAAATTCCACAAACATAATATACCCTAAGAAACTTGTGTGCTTAAAAAAAATACAATACAGCTCACTCATGTGTGGAGCAGTTTTAGATGATTTTCACGGTTTAATAATCTAAGTATTCTCGAGTGAGCTTATTTGCACCATATATTAATTAATCACTCTTAAAAGATTAGTCATTTATGTTAAAATTAAAAAATTTATGAAAAATTATTTTTTATTATCCTTTTTCTAAAATAAAATTTTAATCTATAAATTAAAAAGTAAATCTTTTTACCAACTAAACTACCATTCATTCATTAGGTGATTGGCTTTAGGTGTGAACTTAAATGCTTATATTTTTACCATTCATTTGTTTTTTTTTACTAATCTTTCAATATTAAGTAATCACATTAAATTTTAACTATTTCAGAATCGACTTATGTCAAATCCCATTTAAGAGAAAATTCTTTTCATTCATAAAACTCGAACTTGATATCTTATTTAAGGGGTACCGAACTATTTCCACTCAGATCAATAAGATGTTGGTTTTTACCATTCATTCGTTAATTGATCAGCTTTAGGTGTGAACTTAGATGCCTATATTTTTACCATTCATTCGTTTTTTGGTACTAACCTTCTGATATCTGTTAATCACATTGGATTCCAACTAATTCAGAATCGAATTGTGCTAGATTTCATTTGAAGGAAAATTCTCTCAACACCTGTTTCTCCATTCACAAAACTCGAACTTAATATTTTATTTAAGGGAAACCAGACTCTTTCCACTCGAATCAACAGGACATTGGTTTTTACCATTCATTCATTAAGTGATTAGCTTTAGGTGTGAACTTAGATGCCTATATTTTTACCATTCATTCGTTTTTTGGTTCTAAAGTTTTGATATCCGATAATTATATTAGATCCAATTAATTTGAAATCGAGTCACGTCAGATCCCATTTGGAGGAAAACTCTCTTAATACCTATTTCTTTATTTACAAGACACCAACTGAAATCGAACATTTTTCACTTAGATCAATAAGAACGTTGGTTTTTACCATTCATGAGGTGATTAGCTTTAGGTGTGAACTTAGATGCCTATATTTTAAATTTAAATCAGCTCACTGGTTTTCTAAACACTATGGATACCGGTGGCGAAACCACTGCCGTCCTTGGCTGTACCATATGCCACGTAATGCAGCTGCCGGTGGGATTCAAGTATTCAAGTCCATGTCTCCACAGGCCATAGTGTAGAAGGTTTTCAGATCACAAGTCAACTCTAAATGGGGCTACCTAAGTAATTGCTAGTTTTCTACGAAGAGAAAGATGGCTACCACCAATTGTGTTTTAACCATCACATGCTAGTTTTGCTGAAAATAATTCGAATCTACCATTTACAAAGCAACCTCCATGTGTGAGGATGATGCGTACTGGACCTTTGAAGTCTTCTAAAAGCTACTAGTAGGTTGCCAGCATCAAAAGTCAAAGCTAATCATCTGAATACCCTTCAGATTGACATAGCTTGTCGATGACAAATGCTAATTGTTTAAACATTGATACTTCATGCTTCCAATGCAAGTATCAAGGGTAGCATATCTTCTAGGACCAGACCAAATTTACACTCAAGCCATGTGTCCTCAAACTTCAGTATGTATTATGAGACAAATGATGAGATCGAGCTACTGCTACATGCAATCTATTAGTATGTAAACATATGGAAC